AATAGGGCTTTCTAGAAATTAATAACTTTGGACTGCAGCCAGAATTCACAAGTGTGGTGTGTGCTAAAGCTTCCTTCAGTGGAAGAAGGGGGAAATCAGTGTTGTCTTTGCAAGTAATAGCAGGTTTTCTGAAGGACATTCTGTTCCTTGGAAACTTTTGAAGTCTTAAGTTTTTTGTGGACTTGAAATTGCTACAAAATGAGTTCTATTGACTAAAGTCTCCACAAATGCTCTTTCTGCTATCCAGGTATTGTTTTTACCGAGGACAGTTACAGATATCTACAAATTACCCTCCAAGTGCTAGTCCTTTCCCTGTGCTCAGGCCTGGTGCCCGATGCCTGTCCTGTGCTTCCATGGCCTTCTGCAGATAGCTGCTGCTTCTCCGAGCATGCATCTGCCAGGCGTTCTGTACGCCCACCATCTCATGTCATCCTCCCAACAGCCCCTTGGAACCTGATTATTCCCATTTTGCATGTGAAGAAATTGAAGTTAAGAAAACTCAATACTGTTTTCATTGGTTGCCTCATATGTATCAGGCTCTGTGCTAAGTGCTTCACACGTACAGTCTAATCCTTATGGCATCCTTGTAGGTGGATATTCTCATCCCCATTTTGAAGATGAGGAGACAGGCTCACAGAGGTGAAGTTCCTTGTCCGTGATCTCACGGCTATTAATTGTCACAGTCCGAATCTGAAGTCAGGTGTGAAGGTCTTTCCATCATGCGGGATACGGACCTCCTGACTGAGGTCCTTGAAGGCAGGAGGCAGAAACCCTCTCTGGCTAAGGGTTCTCATTTGCTAGCCTGGCACACAGTCCATGTTGCTCGCGTTTGATTGATTGTTGGGTTGATGCATAGCTGGATTGTGCTTACTCGTATCCTTATGATTTTCAGCCTTTCCCCCACTGCCTTCAGATTAGTTTTCCCCTTACCTGAATATCTGTCCCCAAGCTTCATTCCCCATTTTGATATTCATGAGCATGCCAAAGAGCATCTGCTCTGAAAAAAGTTCAAAATGAATTTGAATTTCGATGTATTTGGCTTTTTTTTTTTTTTTAAAGCACATGAGCAGGGTTGCCTGGGTGGCTCAGTCAGTTGAGCATTCAACTCTTGGTTTCGGCTCAGGTCATGATCTCATAGGTTGTGGGATCGAGCCTAGTGTCAGGCTCCTCGCTCATCAAGAAGTCTGCTTGAAAGATTCTCTCCCTCCGCCCCTCCCCCTGCTCTTTCTCTCTCTCTCAAAATAAACAAATCTTTAAAAAATAAAATACAATACAATACGTAGACAGAACTGGGGATGGGGTGGTAAAGGATGTCCTGCCCCGGTCACTCCCACATGGCATTGTGGCTCTCGTGGATACTTCTGCTCTGGTTGATTATAGTGTTCTAACTCAAGGTCATGGGTGAAATAACACCTCCCCGCCTCAGAGAAGACCAGTGCCAGAGGGCACCCATACAGAGTGCTTACTGGAATCACCATCCTCTCTGGCCCATGTGCTTACTCTATCTTTGAGGGAGAAATAAGATACGGGGTGTGATTTATTTTCCCACTGAGGTAGGGAATGAGAGAGTTGGAATTAAGTATGACTAAGTGCTCCCACAGTGAAAGAAGGCCCCAAGCTTTCGGTGCCCTGGATTCATACTCAGAAGCCCAGGGGACTGGCCCAGGGCCCAGCCTTTTTGACCACGGAACCCTTCATCTCACTGATTTCAGATTAGTTCCTATAAAGCGTCTCTCCCCGTAAAATCTGATTAACCTCAAATCAGTACGGGTTTGGCTGGATCACGGATTTCAACATCTTCCCATTTCCTGAGTTCTCAGTCACAGTTATAGGGGTGAAGCCTTCGGTAACAGTTTCCTGTTAATCATATCTTTGTAGCCTTTACGTTTACTCACAAGTGACAAAGGACAAATCCAGCTGGCTTGGGTGAATAGTTTTTTTGTCCACAGGGCACTGAGAATTCAGACAGAAGTCCTGGGGTGAGTTGAGTAGCTGTGGGCACCTTCCCGCCGCTGAGAAGCATGTAGCAGAATCCAGCATTTAGAGGGACGTGTGATCTCTTAGGTCATCATACCCCGTCCTCCTGACGTCAGCGTGGTGTTTTTGTACAGAGAACGTCCAGGACCAGTTGGTGCTGGGGGAGCCGAGGGTCCTGTAGCAGAATCAGTTGGCAGTGAAGCCTTTGGCGTAGGCTGACTCCTAAACCTTGGGGATTGAACTTGTTTTATTGATGGGGGGTGGGGGGTGTTGAAGGAGACAGGGTGGTTTTAGGCAGTTCATTATTCTTTAAAAAGTAAGATTATTCTTGTTTTATTCTCCCATATTCTCTTAAGGGGAAAAGTATTATAGGACTTTTCATTTCTTCCTAGTCAGCTGCCGGAGATGGGTAGACAGGACCTTAACTTACTGTCTTTTCCAAGGAAAGACCTCTTTTCAAGGAAAATGAGAGTTTGAGGAGGTGGGAAGGGCCCGAGTGAGACACTGGACGCAGCGTGGCTGGCGCTGGGCCTCTTCGGGTGGAGACAGCACGCCTCTGGAGATGGCTCTCTCACCCACCGCTGCCTCACCCCTTCTGTGACATTAGTCACGGAGAGACATTTGTGTCCAGACCCTGCGTGGAGAACGCTGGCAGCCACCATAATTCCAGAATGTAGCAGGGACTCTTCTTTCTTTTGACCCTTTCCAAAACAAGGATCATGTTTTCCTCTTCTCTCTCGATTCACAAGTGTTTTCAGTTTGCGTTCCAGGCTCTTGTTGCTGCCTGTTTCATGTCGGGGATTGTTACCTTCCCAGTGAGGCTGTCATCCTGGACAGTAGGTCCAAGGCTGCTATGTGTCCTCAGCAGTATCTCAATCTGGGCTGGGCCCAGAGTGAGTGCTTAATAAAGACGTTCTAACTTGGATCATACATCACATGCTGTCAAAGCTGGGAAGGATTTTGGAAACCACCAAGTCCGACACTCTAATTTTATAGATGGTACCACTCCAGAAACTCATTCTGGAGGCCGGTGTTTATCTGCTGGAAAGAGGGGGGTTTAGTTTGGGTTTCTGTTTTTGTTTGTGTTTATGTAAAAGCCTAGTGCAAATGACCATAATTCTAAACCTTTGAAAGGCTTTCTTTGTGGTGCAGGATGTTCCTCCTTGGACTAGCAGCTGACTAATAATAACAGTAAAAATGCTCACTGGATTCCATACCCTGAGCCACTCTTCACTGATTCATCCAGCCACATAGCAGTGTTGGTACTGTCGTCATTCTCCACATGCCGACAGGGAGGCTTAGCAGTAGGGCACCTTGCTCAGGCTCCTGTAGTGCAGAGTCTGGTCTGGTCAGGTGCCCAAACTCATGGCCTGCAGTGGCTCTCAAACAGGATCCCTGACTAAAGCCCCATTTGGTGATTCACAGTGCTGGCTTTGCGACATGCCGTGGTGTCTCCAACCTGAACGCAATTGTAAGGTTCATTTTCATTAACTTTAGTTCTCCAATTAGACACAGTGACTGGGAAGGCAAGGCCAAAAGCAAATAATGATAGGGATTGCATCTCTAGAAAGGTCAGTGATCGCTGCCCTAGATCATAAAAGCATTTGGACTGAGTAGAAGGAATGAGTGTTCCCATCTCTTGCTCCAGAAACCATTGCTTCACCTGGAATCGCTGGTTCTTCCTCTAGTCCCTCTCCTGTGCCCGGAACTCACCTTCTCCTGTCACTCGTGTCACGAAGCCTCAGGCCTGGTGGTGTAAAAATGTCCGTTGGGGCACCTGGGTGGCTCAGTCGGTTACGCGTCTCTCTTTGGCTCAGGTCATGATCTCGGGGTCCTGGGACTGAGTCCCACAGTGGGCTCCCTGCTCAGCGGGGAGTCTGATTCTCCCTCTCCCTCCGCCCCTCCTCCCTGCTCGTGCATGCTCGCTCACTCTCTCTTTCTCTCTCTGTCTCAAATAAATAAATAAAATCCTAAGAAAAAAAAAAAACCCTTGCCAAACCAGTATGAAACAGGCCCCCCGATGACCAGGCTACCCAGTATACTGGGTCTTTAAGGCAGGCACTTCACCTTGAATCTTTGCACTGAGCTCTGTATCTAAAGAACATTCCTGTGAGTTCTCTGAAATGTTAGTCCTGGGTCATTGGCACTTAAACCACTTGTTTTGGTAGATCCTTCCCGAGAAGGTTAATTATATATTTGATATCCTTTCCTCTTTATGCCTGAATGATGAGGATAAGTACCCTGTGGTTTATTAACTGTCACTTTAAACCTTTTCAGATTGTCTTGTGACAAAACACAGTTTTATGTCCTTTTTATCCAGCTTTGATGGATGAGACAGCTTCTCTGCTAAAAGAATGCCAGGATAAATAAGGTCTTTCTCTGATTTGTGGGGGAGGATTTTCACTGGAAGTCATGGGTTCAAGTCTGCCATTTCATATGAAAGGTGGCCTGGCCTGTTGACCTTTCCGTATACTTCATTTTTCCTTTGGGTCAATGGGGCTGGGCACCTTGGCACCTGGTAATTGTTGAATAAGTGAAAGAAAAGACATTACTTTAGGGCAATTGATGTCTCTAAAAGTTTAGATCCCAAACCCTAAAGCAACAATTTGCCACATTTCCTATTTTGAATCACATTGATTTCTTAGGGCAAAGAGCCTCTGCCCTTAACATGGTAGAACCCCAACGCTTATCTCTCCTCCCTCAAGTCATTTTGTGGTACGTTTTTCAGTAAATTGCCAGAGGACTGCGGAAAGCGGATGCCGTTATGGACATTTAGTTGTTTTGCAAGCCTTGTATCCTCCAGTGTAAAGCGTCCTATAATCCGTATGTGTCCAGTGCTCGAGAACCAGTCTCCTGGGGCATATAGTATATGTAATTCAGCAATTAATACCTCTCTTCTCTCAGTTGGCATTTACTGAATCCCAGCTAGGAGCAAGGCAAGGTATTTATTTAAAATAATTAAAATAGCAAAAATAGTGCTGAGGCTTTAAAACTTTTTTCCTTCTGTTTTTTATTCATTCCAGTTCGCAGGGACATTATCAGATGGCTTAGGGAAGACGATGGACAATCGACATCAGTCAGAGCGGGAGTACATTAGGTACCATGCAGCTACAAGTGGGGAGCACCTTGTAGCCGGCATCCATGGCCTGGCTCATGGTAAGTCACGTGATATCGGGAAGACTGGCTTCTCCTCCACAGTTCCTCCAAGGTCCCTTTCCACCCATCCAATTGCAAGTGGAAGTCCTGGCGAGGGAGCTTGGTGTACTTGGTAGCCTTCCAAGCACTCTTATCTCGCCTCCTTGCAACTGAAATGTGACAGCCTATGACAGCTCTTCGCTCACTTTCAAAATGCTGTGCACATTGCAATCCCTTCCTGTTCTCTGGCTTCTGGTCCCAAAGTGGCATAAGGTGTAGTCAGTTGAACCCCTTTTTAGAATATGGAAAATAGGGAACTGCTGCCTCAAGACTTGCCTTCTGCTTACTGAGCATTCCTTCCATGGCAACTGAAATGTGAAACCGGCTGCCGGGTTTGTGGCCCAGATGTTTTTGAGTCTTGTATAAATGCACATTCAAAGGGATTGTAAATCCGTGTGCCCAAGAGATATAGGTGATGGCATGAATGTATTAAGTCTCTGAATTTGTTTGAATTCTGACCTTTAATGCTTTAACTCCTACTCATTTGCCTTTTGTTGCGTTTTTCTCAACGACTTCTTAGTGTGGCATTCAAGGCCCTTGGAAATGTAAACCCAGCCAACTTTTCCAACCATTGTTGCCCAGCCACACTGTATTTCAGCCACTGAGAGCCGTGGGTTGTTCCCCAGACGTACCCCCAAGGCCTTGCTCACTCACGTTCCTCTGCCCTCCCCTCCCTGCCTATCAAAGTCCTACTCAACCTAGAGGTTTCAACTCAAAAGATGTTTGCCCAGCTCTGCTGTCCCCAGTTGGAATTAATAACCATTAGAGCACCCGTAGCAGTCTGGGTTGTGTATCTAGGCAGCTGTGTGTACCTTGCTTTCCTTGCAGAGCCTCATGGGATACTGGGCATATAGCTCCTGCTTAATAATGCTTAGTAAATTGCATAGTTTGTACCAGATTCTTAGAAATAGTCTGAAGCTAGCAGAAGTCCTATCAAGACTGACCAAGTTTAGATTATCCACATTTGGAAGAAGGAGGAAGATGGATAATAGAAAACTTTCTTTCTCTTCATGCTTAGGACACAGTGTTTAGGACAGAATTTTTTTATCAGTTTTCCTAATGGTGAGGTTTGGATCAAAATGCCTTTACTTTTCCTAAGCCTGCCCTACTGGAAAGGGAGCAGCCCCAAAGGAGACATCAAGCTAGGAGTAAAATTTGGCTGAAATCAATCTGTTTAGGGACTCAAAAAGTTGATAGTTGGGCAGCCATTTGGGGTTAAAGATTTAATAATTCTTTCTAGTAACTGTAATGATAGTGCTTGGGACTGGAAGAGACTGTTTTGTTAGTTTTTTTTTAATGAATACAAAATGCTTTGCTGTGTATAATTGCCTTCGTTTGTCTCACATCTTTGGAATATGGAGAGAAAGCCTAGCTGTCCTCACTTTTTGAATGGACACAAGAGTATGCTGAGAAAATGGATGATGGTTCAAGGTTGGTTGCAAAATCCCTTCCAACCGAGGACCATTCATACAATCCATGCAGCATCTCCAGGAACAGGTAACCTCATCCGAGGAGGATGCATGAAGCTCTGGATGGCATGAGAGCGGTAGCCTGAAGTGAAAAAATTCTTCGGTGATAACAAGAACCAGAATCCATTCAGTCTTCTTGGTTTAAAAATGGGGAGTCCTGCCCAGTTTTCTCTGCAGGCCCCACTTGCACCAGGCTCAGTAATGTCTGTCTCTCCGTGAACTTGGTTCAAAAGGTTGGGAGAGGGCTGTGGCCTCACTGGAGCAAATGGACCCAGAATCCAAAAGAAACGTGGATTGTTAGTGTGTTCTCACCCAAGGAATTTCCTTTACCGATTTGTCTCACTAGAGATGAAGAGTCTAGAGAGCTTCCTCATGCCCCCACCGTCAAAGGGTAAACATCCTGTGAGTGTCCCTGGCACACATCCTGGAAACGCTCCCTGTACGGGGCCCCACTTCTTCCCTGTAATGCCTGTGTCCTCTCCAGCCTCTGCCAGCCTCTCGCCACTTCTGACGCTCTTTAAGGTCATTGCTGTCAGCTTTCAAAACGTTTGTAATGTCTTTGTGACCTAGCATGGTCTTTGAAGAGACTCCATGGAGAGTCCAGGCTGGTTTTGGCATTTTGGCAGCTTCTTTTGGGGGAGGGGGTGCCTTTCATCAAGGCCTCATGACTTACTCTGATTGCCTAAACCTGATTTCAGCAAAGTGTGCAGTAGCTTTTACCCCATTTCAAATGTCTGGTGGTGGTGGCCAGTCACACAGTGTTCTTGGAAAACTGAGGATCTGTATTTAGTTCTCTCTGCCTTATATTTTATGGGGCCCCAACTTTCCCCAAGGGCCACTATGTGCTAGTCTGTTGATTAGTCCTACTGTCTGCATAGTCTCCTGATGGCCCATGTGCTTCCCACACTCAGGAACTAGAAAGTAGCCACTGTTAACCTCTTAGGTGGTCTTTGTTTTTTTTTTAAAACTGGGACACACTTCACTTCAGACTAACGTGTAATATATATTCTCGGACTCTAAACTTAGTGGGCAAGTCTGAGTCTGCTGGTTCCCCAACTAGAGTTGGCCCTCCTGTAGCCTATCAAGAGGTTGACAGAATGCCCCTAAGTTACCTTGCCAGGTGCATGGAATTAATGGGGTTCGGCTTTAAATGCTTTTGCTTTTGTCCTCAGCCAGGTTACAACAGCCCTTGTCTCTTTTGCTAGGTATCATTGGTGGATTGACCAGTGTGATCACCTCAACAGTGGAAGGAGTGAAAACAGAAGGGGGTGTCAGCGGTTTCATATCTGGCCTTGGGAAAGGGCTTGTTGGCACTGTAACCAAGCCAGTGGCAGGTGCCCTGGATTTTGCATCAGAAACAGCCCAGGCAGTGAGAGACACAGCCACGCTCAGTGGCCCCAGGTCAGTGGTCTTTGCGGGTGGGGGAGGGGGGGGTGGGGAGAGTCACTTTTGCAATTTCCAGCCCAGGTCTGCTGCCTCTCCTGATCTATGCTGATGTGTTTAATCGCATACTTTCTGCCTTAATGATGCCATTTTTTAAAACTTGAATACATGTATCTAAAATTTCTGACCTGCCTAATATAAATACATGAAAATAAGGCACAAAAATCTGGCATGAATTCTTCCAGATCTGTATCTGCCTATCTTTATCTACGTCTATAATTCATTTATATATAAAATGTTGTTTTTCTTCATTAGAGGGGTCAGAAATAGGATTACACCCTTACAAATCACCAAACTAACTAGACCCCCCCACATGCCCATTAAGAAAGCTATCAGGCTGCAGGCTGTGTCTGACTCCTAGGCGCCATGGCATGTTGTAGAACCCCTGCAGTTGCAGTTCACCACGTGAGTCTGTCCTTTCTTAGTTCTCCTTCCACTTGGACGTGCGGGCCAGTCCCCCAGCCTCATGAAGGGATTCCCTAGGCAGGTTGGCAGTTCTGCCTGCCATCTTGTCTTGATACCAGCTGAGAAGGGAAATCGGGGGCAGCCCATGTGGCTCTGCAGCCCACAGAATCCAACTACTTTAACATAGCTCTTTGTGTTAATAGCCTATTTGAGCCTTCCTTTTTCAGAGTGACTAATTGGGGATCTTATCAACAAAGGGTATAATGAATGTTACAGTTCCCAGCCAAGCTGGACGCCACTTAAGCCCAGAAGGATTTTGCTGCTCCCTGGTTAAGAGATATTCCCCGAGGGAATTAGCGTCCCCTTTTAGAATGTCTAGGGTCTGGGCCTTGTCCACACCCTATTGCTCCCTCGAATAGGATTTGAAGTGAAATCGTCCCCAATTAAAATGAATCCATGTGTCTGTCACCAGGAAACCTTACTGATGACACATTACTGCAGGGGAAATGCTTAAGATTGTAGACTGGGACCATGTAATATGTTCTGCCAGAATGTCTTCCATCTGGAAGCAGCTGCTTTTTAAAAAAGGATCTGTAGAGTTTACTTTAGTTAAGTTACATTCTATTCTCAGATACAGAGCTGAAACAATCCTTGAGTATATTTTGAAGCATTTATGAAGTTGGGGGGAGGGGCAGTAGGGAAGCTTCAAAAGTATTTCCAGTTAAGTTTTTCTGTGTCTGCTGGAAGCCCCAGAAGTCCACCTCCACTATTTTGTTACGACAATAAGACCTAATGACGCGTGAGTAAAGCAGGAGACCCCTAAGAATCCCGAAAGAAGCCTCCTTATTTGTAAAATCCCAGAGTGGCCAAGGGATTGAGTGATTTGTTTCAAAAGGGGTCTGAAGTATATGTGTTTAATTTTTAAAATATCATCTTGTGTTAGGAACTTCAGTGATATTGACCAGAAAGAAATGACTTGAATTTTCTACAGTATCAGTTTGGAAATCTTGATAAAGTTTTGCCTTCTTTTTAGGAGCATAAGAAAGGCACAAAATGGTTGCCACAGAAAGCAGGATATCCTTGCAGTTTCACGGGCTGTCCTGCACTGATATAGCAGGTTCCACTCGTGTTACCAGGTGTATACCTGTCAATCAGTCATTTCTAGTCAGTAAATATTGATTGAAAATTTTCTAAGGACTCGGGGTTGGGAATCTAGCAGAAAGAGGGCCCTGCTCTTCTCCTGGTCCGGTGGGGACGCAAACATAAAACAAATAATCAGAGTAATAATTACTTGCTAAAATTGTGATAAATGACACAGGAGATTTACAGGGTGCTGTGAGACCATGTAATTGGAGAAGGCAAAGGGGAGAAGGAGGTTGGCTAACCTGTGGTCCTTGGGGTCAAGAAAGGCTTTTCAAGGGAAGTGCTGTTCCGAAGTCCAATGTGCTATCCATTGCGCCACGGAGCCCCCTGGGAAGTGCTAGTTAGGATGAAGCCTGAAGCATATGGTGGGGGTTGGCCAGGTGAAAGGAAGAGAGAATCACATTCCAGATAAAAGGGTCTAGAGAGGCTAGGCAACTTGCCTGAAAACAAACAGTAATCAGACATTCTAACTGAAGTCTAGCTGCAAATTCCCCGAAGTAGCTCTTTTTGTAGCCCTTCACTCCTAGAAACAAAAGCTACAGTGGTAAGTGAGAAGCAGCCAGGTAGTCATTGGCCTGGGGACCTGGGAGCTTCAGTGAGGGGCAAGTAAGCTTCTGCATCCCCTCTCTGTTCTCAGAGGAGCCACTGGTGGGAGAGCCGTGGCCAAAGTTGCCAGAGGGGAGTGGGGCATGTGCTGGGCTGTCTAATTGGGAGCCTCGAAGAGATTTGGCCTTTACCCTTTATTGCATTGAAAAGACATTACAGCTTCTTCTGACACGCTTTGACCAGTTTCCCTCCGTCCACTTGTCTGGGTCCCACAGTAGGTTATTAATGAGCATCCATGTGTTAGAAAAGAACACTTGGGCTGGAAAACAGCAGGTCTGGGTCCCAACCCCCCTCTTAGCTTAAGTCTCCTCAGCTCCTTGAGCCTCAGTTTTTCCATCTATAAATTGGGGATAAATATACCTGTCTGTTTATTCCCTCTCTCAGAGGTCTGAAGCCCAACCAGGGTTATTTTAATGTGGATGCTATAAGGAACTATAAAATGCTGGACGATCCTATTTTTGAAAGTCACATTAGAGGAGCACAGAGATTCTTGCAGGTGGAGAAATGTTTCGGTGCTTTGAGGGTTTGTTCTGATGACACTGTGATCTCTTAGGAACATACTAGTTCTACCAAGGGATAAATCACCCTGGTTTCTTGGAAGTGAGTTATGACCATCTCCAGTCATCCCAGTTGATTGAACAGGATCCAGGGGTGTTACTCAGGGTTTTTCCCCACTGTTTAGACAACAGGGACTAACAAATGATTTGAAGGGATTAGAAGTGAGATTCTGACCGAAGGCTGACCTGAGCCCAGGGACCGAGCCAGGAATAGAACCCAGGAGTCCAAGAGTTCTGCCTCTGAGTCTGCTCTTGGAACGAGACTTTCTGCTTCCTTTGTACTATTTCTTCCAAGTGAAGGCTTAGATCTTAGCATCTATGTTTTAAATGACTCAAATTTTAAGCAGATGATAGCAAAGTAAGCCATAAAACTGTGAAAGAATATTCGTTCCAGTAATCCATCTGAAAAGTGGCCTTACAGGAAATATTGGCTCCTTTTCATGTTTATTTGAACATGATTTTATTTATAGGGAGCCCCCCTCCTTGAGTTCCTTTAGATTAAAATACTTCCAAGTTCCTCTCTTTGGTGGAGTGTGCAGGCATTCCGAAAGGACAGTCACCTAACTCTCCCCTGAAATTGCCATGCCATCTGATAGTTCTTGCGAAGGCGGGTGGAGTGAGGGCTGAAGAGGGCGGAGGACAGCAGAGCCTGTGGCCTCCGCACGAGTGTTGTAGACCAGTATCCCCTGCTGCATTCGTTAACTGTGCAAGTATGTGTGGTTTGGAACCGAAATAAGAAGCCTTTTCCAAGGCAACGTTGTGCTGGCTCAGGTTGCATCTTCTAGTCTACGTGTATAGGGCCACATTTGTCTGTTCCCAAGTAAAGTTCATGAAAATGGCACAGCTGGCGGCCACACTTGTGGTCCATGGAAGCCACGCCGAACAGCCCGCCACCCTTCAAACAGGCCAGGCCAAAGCAGGGCACCCTCTGGGCTGCCTGCCCAGCTCCTGCATGTGTGGTGGTATTCGATGGTAGTATTTGAAAAGATACTTGGATAGGTAGAAAGCCACAGAGACCCAGGGGCAGCCATTGCCCAACAGAAGGCAAAAATAACGTTGAAAGGGGGAGTATTGGACTCTGGGCTATTTATTTGCTTGTTTATTTCTCTAAATACCATCTGTTGTAGGCTTTGAGTTACATGACATTTTAGGAAAGTAGCAGATGAAGACTTATGAAGCTGGGCCCTGAGGTTTCCTCCAAAATATTTCTTCACCTTTTTAGTCAAGACCCAAAATGGGGAGAGAAGTGGGAGCTGGCAGAACTTGAAATATTTAAACTAATTTAGCAAAGCTCAGGAGTGTTGGAGCTTATCTCATTATTTAAGTTAGATAAGGAGGAACGGGGAATTTGAAGGATAATGATAGATCAGTGCTTAAGAATATAGCCATCAGGACTTTGATAATGCTCTGGAATCCCAGGACCCCTGTATTGTGCACGTAGATGTAAATTCCAGTTGCTCTGAGGGCTTTCAAGTAACCTTTTGGTTGATGTCCTGGAAAAGATTTATGGTGGGCATATTCAACTTTTTCAGTACAAACACTCCCCAAGACACCACCCAGAATTCGTTCAAGACACTTTCTATTAATGGCCTCCTGGATGTGAAAGTGAAGCGGATTTTCTTAAGGAAAAGTCCTTTTTGTTACAGTGTTTGCATTGTACTGATGACTGTCCAATACAGAAGGGAAAGACCCTCTTGGGTCACCAGAGCCTGGATGCAGTCGGATTGGACAGGTCGGAAAAAAGTCCACAAAGGGAATTTAGGAAATGCTTTCACTAGTCTTTCATTCCAGCTTGGAAATACTCCTTGTAATGATTCTGCCCTGAAAGCAGCCATTTGCTCTTCTTGGTTTTATACATAACACATTAAGCCGAACTGGTTTGAATGGAGCCTGCGGGGAACTTTCAGAGGTAAAAATCTTAATAAAAATTAAAATGTTTGTTAGGATATGCCAGTGCCATCAGTTTTTCCCACCAGTGTTCCACCTACAGCAGAGGAGAGTGGACTGACCTCCCCTGCATCCGGGGGCAGGAGCAAGTCCAATATTGCTTGGAAGGTTTCTGTTTTATCTGAAAACTGTAAATGAATTTTACCTTTTATCCCGTATTTGTTTTAATAAGATAATGTTTTTAATAAATGCTACCAAGTAAAATGAGCCCTTCAGAAGGATACACCAGGTTATCCTGTAGCTTCCTCCTCATACTCATCTAAGAGCCACAAGACATGCTTTCCAGATGAGTCCTGTAGA